GAGCTAATCTGAATGTTAGTTAGTAGAGTAATATATCAATTAATTAGTGCTAATCTGAATAATGATCTCTTATTATTATAATCTGATAGACATAGACTTACATGGAAAGTTGGAACCAACTTAGAAAGCAAATCAAACAAATTTCTTCTTATTTTGTGACATTAATTTCATGTTCTTAGAGACCACAATAAGTCCTGAGAGCAGATAGATCTCTCCTTCCAAATCCTTCAATGGTATATTGAAAGTATGATTCAAAATCAATGGGTTTATACAAGCGAGGATGCTCAGAATCAACCATTTCATCTGGTGCATATATCAAATCCTCGGTTTTCGGAACAGAGAACAATCCAGCTGAGAATCTCGTGTTCGTTCCCATCCTCATTACTCGATGAACACCAGTAAGCACCCGACCATTCAAAAGTACCTGAAAACATTCTTTACGTTATAAACACTCGAAGAAAATGTAACCAAATGGCTCTTGGTCTAATGGTTTCCTTGCGAGAGGAGAACCATAGTTTGAGTCCCCTTGGGTGGAGGGGAATTCCCGAAGGGAATAGGCTAAAGGCTGTCTCTGGGCACCAGCGAAGATTATGAGCCAAAGGCCCGCGATAAAAAACCAATGGAAGAAAATGTAGACCCAAAAATGAAATTTGGTTTAGAATTTACGTGTAGCATAGCTCCGCCAAGAACGATAAATGAAGAGTCTCGAGAAGGATTAACTTTGATCCAATGCTTATCGTCTTTAGTTTTCACTTCGAGTCCGTCTTTTACGTCGTTTTGGCAAAGTATAGTGAGCATGTTTCTGTCTGTATGAGCCTCCATACCTAACTCTTCCTCTATTTCTTCAACTCCTTGGTATTTCATCAATCGTATGAGACATTTCGTCGACTTCAAATGTTTGTTTATGTAGTTTTCATCGAGGTCGAAACTCTCCATTATCATTCTCCGGGTCATGGAGTCCAGTTCTGCTACTTTCTCCGTGAATGACATAACCGCCTCGCTGCATAAACAGATCAATTTTAGAGTTTGATACTTTTAAAATCCGAACGAAGTAGAACCGAAATCAAAAACCTGAAACTAGTGTTTCCTTTGGGCCAGAGCTTGTGAGTAAAGGCATTGACTTTCTCCGCATTTTCTGCAAAATCAATGCCGATGACTTCGAAAAGAGGCAACGTTGGAATCTGACCCACGTATCCTCTGTATTTTCTCTTGGACACAACTCTCTGTTTGGTCTCTAATGGTAGCTCGAAAACCTCTTCAGAAGCATCGAAAACCGCCTTTCGAACTTCAACGGGGACTTTATCGAACAAGGCCTCAAAACATCCGTAATCTTCTACAGCTTTTCGTACATCGCCTCTCACCGAATCCCACTCGACAGTTCCCGGTTTAAGGCCTCGACTTGTAAAATCGACGACCGGAAGCTGAAGAAGCAAGATTAGTTTCCAAACTCACCATTTTGTTTCCTTCAGATGACTCTCTCTGTGTTCATATATAAGGTTTTGAAGACCATTAGAGTTTGATTTTTCAACAATATTATCATAATTTTAAGGTTTGATTAGATGTTTATGGTTTCTGATAACACTCTTTTTTTCGTTAATATTTGTAATATAGAAAAATTGTAGTTTTCACTCTTATTTTTGTGTACTAGTGTAATACACAACGATTTGATTGAAGCAAATCGTTGAAAAATATGTGATATTTTTATCTTGTCTTCTTGAAAATGAAACTTGGTAAGTACGGAACCAATCACATAAGTGTAATTACGAACTATTATTGTTGTAATACACAACTTTAGAATGGTTTGATTGGATCAAAATCATCGTTGAAAAAGACTTTAAAACTTTGTATCTTTATCTTATTGAAAATAAAAACTTTGTAAGTACGGAACCAATCAGATAACATTCATAATTGTAAAACCTTATCACTTTAAATCTTTGGTTAGTGGAATAACATTGAGATTTCCAAAACATTATCACTTAAGAACATCAATCTTTATGTGTGAAGATGTTTTTTAGATATCACAAATTCACAATATGCTTTGAGAGTCGACTTTGCTTCACGGCCTTCTTTGGTTGCATAGAAGTTTATGAGAGCGATATAGACGTAGGTTTTAATTAGAGGAAGACGAAAAACATTAACGAGTTTATATTATAATAACGTTGAATCCAAATAGAACGAACCAATCACAAACCGAGTCGAACAAAAAATATCTAAAAACCTCTCTTGTGTATTGAGGAGTTGGCCAAAGTGAGTGTCACTCAATGCTACCTCTCTTGGTTTATACAATACCGAGAAGCTTAACAAGATCCACATGGTTGTACAGCTCCTGACAAGGTGAAGCAACCCGCCTTTCGCCACAAATTTTAGTCACGAGATTATTTGCCTTCAAATT